ATAAAAAGGAAAAACTACCCCCCCCTCCCCCCAAACCTGCGAGTCTGAGGTTGGAGCCTCAGCCCTGCCCAGCAGCAGCAGCCCTGGGGGTCTGACGTGGATTCAGCACGCTGGGAAGGGCACGGGGGAAACAACAGCCTCATCATGAGGGGGCTGGGGACAAGTCTAGGTGGGATTAGTTGATCCTGGTTTAACTTCAGTGTAAGGGGATGGCCTACAAGGAGCAGGAGGTGCCAGGGTGTCACCCACTGCACCCCCCTGAGCACCCAAAATAGGGGGGGCTGAGCACGGCTGCTTAAATCTTGCTCATGAATCAAGAGGTACAGGTTGAAAACACTGGAGAGCCCCATCCTGCTGGGGCTGAGTGCTCGGGCTGTGCCCACGCTGTCACTCCCAGCAGGGAGAGCTGCAGATGGTTTTCTTTTCAACTCTTTTTGAATTAGTTCCTGGGTTCAGGAAGTCCCTTTGGTAAGTTCCAGCCCCGTTGAGCACGGCTGGCAGCAGGGCTGGGCAGTTTGAGCCCTGCACTGCTGCATGGGGATCTGAGAACACGTTTTCCCCTCTGCCTGTCTCTGCTAGTTGCAGCTGGGGAGTGGGTGGGGTCAGCCGGACACCCCCACACCCGGCTGAAAGGTTTTGGCAGTGCAGAGCAAAGAGCAGCAGCAGCACACCCAGCGAGTTATGGCACTTAGAGTTGGGCAGGGGAGGCTTCCTTAAAGCTCTCCAATAAGTTTTCCAGCGTCCTTTTCCTGGCCTGTGGTGGTTCAGGGTTTTGTGCTGGAGGAACTCATACTCCTGAGCAGTTTAGTTTCTGTTTCCACAACTCTTGGTGTCTCTGGTGCTGGTGTTACAACCCCAGGGGTCAGGAAGGGCTGTCTGAGCTCCCTGCCACGAGCCGGGCGTTGTGTGTGGGATGGGCACAGACCCTGGTGGTTCAGGATTCCAAAAAGCCCCATGATCTGGGGGAGTAGGTTCCACACAGTGTTGCGTTTGCTGGAGAAGTTCCACCTTGGTCTCCTCCTTCCTGGAGAACCACAGAGCAGCATCTCTGCCACCATTTGCCAGCAGACCTGCCCGGCGGGGAGGAGCATGCTCCAGTCCTGCTGTTAGTTAAAGTCCAGGAAGGGATGAGCCCAGTGCAGCATCCCGGGGAGGGACCAGATGCTGATAACACGCTCGACTTTGGAGAGGGCTCTGTGGAGTCTCTGGATCTGACACTTCCTTTGGACTGTCTGGGGTGGGGCAGAGGGGTTGGCACACACGGACCCTCCTGCGCCAGGTCCCGGCGGCACCGCTGGCCCAGTACCAGCTGCTGTGGCTGGGAAGGAGGTTGCTGGGTTGGTCTGGGAGATGGTGAGGGGCTGAGGAGGAATGACCCCCGTGGTGCAGAATGGCTCTGATAAGGTTTTCTTTCTTTTTTGGGGGATTCTCCAGTGGATTTTGCTCTGAAGGTGGTGCAGTGGTCGGAGTCGGAGACGGTACGACTTCAGCTCTGGGACATTGCAGGTATGTTCACACTGACCACAGAGCTCAGGAGCAGGATTTAAAGCTCTCAATGGATCAGCATTCTCCTTTTTCCCCTCCTTTTTTTCCCCTCCTTTTTTTCCTCCCTCTTCTCTTCCTTTCCCCCCCTCTCCCCCTCTTCCTTTTTCTTTTTCCAGTAGAAGTTGCTACAGAAATAATCCCCAGAGCCTGTGGATGCGAGGGGCAGGAGTGCTCTGCTTTGCAATGCTGCCTCTCATTTGCAGGAGTAATTTAAATATTTCATCAAAAGCCCATCTGCAAAGACAGCAGCGCAGATGATAAATGCTATTGAGCTTTTCTCCTCCATTTCAAAGCCTGAGCAGAGTGAATGGGGAACGGGCTCATTTGTAGCTGGATACATCACTTCTCAGCTCCGAGTCTTCAGTTAGAACCCTGAGTCCTGGCAGGAGAGCCAGGAACACCTGATTGGGCTCCACTGACCTCGCTGCTCTGGCTGCCAGGGTCAGGATTGTGACCTGGCTGCTCCGTGCCCTGTGTGAGCAGAGCCAGTGGATCCCTGGGGAGCAGCTGTGGCAGGAGGAGACTGTTGGGTGCCCCCGAGGTGATGGGGCTGGGCTGGGAGTGGGGCACGCTCTGGGGGACACTGTTATATGCAGTGAAGTGGAGTGAGGAGCTCCCTGGAGAGACACAGAGATGAGGCCCTGAAGGTCCCCAGCACCAGAAGACTGAGGACAGGCTGGTGCAGCAGCGCCTCTGAAATGGCATCTCCAGATCAGAGGTGTGAGGAAAACAGGCCTGTGGTTTCCTCCAGTTTCACTGCTCAGCCACGTGAATCTAGAATCCTTAAAAAGGAAAGAGGAAGGAGAAGTTTGCAGCAAGAGGATTGCAGCAAGAAACTGATTTCAGTTTCGGCACAGAAAAGGCGTTTAGGATTTGGAAAGCAGAGGGGCTCTTGTGGTGCCCCGGGCAGGAGGGGATGCACACACCAACAGTCCTGCCACCTTCTGCCACCCCAGAGCGATGGCTGGAGGTGACTCAAGGCGCTCAGGTCTCGATGGTTTCGGAGCAAGAAGCTGTGTGGGAGCCCACAGTGAAACCTGCCCGGTGCCAGCAGGGCTGGTCCTCACCCTGCCCCGTGTGGATGTGCTGTGGTCTCCACGTGGCAGCACAGGGGTTACTCTCTGACCATGGTTTGGGTAGGACAGGCAGGCTGTAAGGTGTGAGCAGGAGTCATGGTGGGTGGGGGGTGATGCTTCCTGCTTGGTACTGATTTTTTCTCTCTGGAGAGCCTGGTCTGTCCCTCTGTGCCCACAGCAGCACCTCAGTGCTGGTGGCTCAGTCCTGCTGGAGCAGGGATGGCTGGTGGTGGCCAGGACCCTGCTGCTGGCAGGATTCTGCTCTGGGATGTGGTATTGTTACACTGGGAGCAATGCAGGTGTATTTGGGCCATCTGAGTGTCTGGGTCAGGATTCAGAGCTGCCCACTTGGCTCCAGTTGTGCCACTGCACGGCTGAGGAACCCCAGGCAGGAGGCACCTCAGTGCTTGTATTTCTTCATTAGTTAATGGAAACTGTGTCCGTGATGTACCACGATAATCACACTACTTGTGTGAACAGGTCTAAAAATGGTAACTCTGGGAGGTTATGGGTTTTTTTCCTTCTGATCCTGCAGGTCAGGAACGTTTCACCTCCATGACCCGGCTCTACTACCGGGAGGCGTCCGCCTGCGTGATCATGTTCGACGTCACCAACATCAGCACGTTCAGCAACAGCCAGAAGTGGAAGCAGGATTTGGACAGCAAGCTCCTGCTGCCCGACGGGAGCCCCGTGCCCTGCCTGCTGCTGGCTAACAAGGTGAGCAGCTCGGGGCGTGCTCTGTGTGTCTCTCTCTGTGTAAAGTTGCTGCCCGGAGGTGCCCGCGGGATGTCTGGTTTCCATCTGGATGCAGCGTCAGGTTTCACCGTGTAGATGGGTTGTTATCTTTTCATCATCTATTTTTCTTTCATTTAAAAACGACCTTTCAGTTCCTCCCGTGCCAGCCTTGGCTCAGCAGCCCTTTCCGGATTCAGTTTGAGACTTGCCTGGTTGGAGAGAGCCTAAAACTGGAGATGACTCAAAAACGTGATGGGTGGCCAGGAGAGCAGCTTTTCTTCTCCACTTCTTCACAAACAATGCTTGCCTCTGATAGCTGGGTTTTCAGATAACATTTTGGGCTGCACCAGGGAAATCTGTGGCTGTGGGCACTAACACAAGCTGTTGTAGGATGGGTTTCCTCACTTGTACATCCCAGTGGCTGCCTCAGTGGCACCACAGCGGTACCAGGGCTCCTTGCTGCCAAGGGACTGGGCACATTTTGGATGAGTGACAGGGTTTCCTTGTCCTCTGCTGGGTGAAGCTCCATTCCATGCGTGCTTGCCTGAGGTGTGGCAGTATCTCAGAGGAGATAAATGTATTGCTGCTTGCAACATCTCATTAAGAACCTTGCCCTAAGAACTCTCTATCAGGTGATCTAGGAGATGTGAGGGGCTGAGCCTGCCTCCTGCCTGCCTCCTGCCTGCCTCCACACAGGCAGGACGTGGCTGAGGAGGACACTTCCCCTCCCAGCTTAAAATTTAAAAGGCTGACCTTAAAATGCCTGATTCTTGGTTTTCAGTGTGACCTTTCCCCGTGGGCAGTGAGCAGAGAAGAAGTGGTTCAGCAAAGAGAATGGCTTTTCTGGCTGGGTGGAGACATCTGTCAAGGAAAACAAGAATATTAACGAGTCCATGAGGTAGGCAGTGACTGGTGATACATCTAGGAGTTAATTCCCACTCTCAGACACGGCCATCTCTGAGGTGAGGGGAGGTGCTGTCAGTAAGTAACTAAAAGCAGCAATAATACACAAGTAAATCTGCTGAAGGGAGACTGAATTCTGAAAGGTCAGAAGTTTTTCTCTCCTTGGTTAAGCTCTGAAATGCTTTTGGAAACAGAAATTCTTTGGACAATACCAGGGATGTTTTTTTCACATGCTGGGGTCTACCAAGAGGATGGTGTTGTTGTGCAGTTAGATTTCTGATCTAGACAATTTCTGATAGAAATTTTTTGTGATTCTCCTTTGATGGAGAATTTGGCCTTTTCTGAAAGGTACTAGACTGGGCGCTCACACCTGATCTTGAGGCTGGGCAGCTGGTACCTAGGAAGCCAGTTGCTGTGTCCCACTCCAAGGTGAGGTGGTTGCAGTAGGTGTTGTTGGTTACCTGGTCACTGCAGAGTCTTCTGGGACTGCCCAGAGATAGCAGTAATGCTGTTGTCAGTGCTAGGAGGTTCCTTAACCTGACTGTTTAGTCATTAAAGTTCTGAAGCTTTGTGTCCTTCTAGAATGAATTGCTATTTTGTTCTGTACTGCTGAAAAACTGTGGGGCCTGATGTTGCTTGTTTAAGAACAAACAAAACAAACTCACTTATGTTTGTCTTCTAGAGTCCTGATTGAAAAGATGATGTCCTCATCCACTGGGGATGGAAGTTCCTCTGCTTCTGGGAGTGGGGATTATATTAACATAAAAGAGACAGCCTCACCAGGCTGGTCCTGCTGTTAGAGGCACTGGCTGCACCATCTGCCTTGGGTCCAGCACCAATGTCCTTTTAGCATCATCATCATCATTTTTTCTTAAACTGTCACTGTTACTTGAGGGTTTTTTTACATCATCATGAACTGTTTTCTGCTTCGTGCATATTTGTTCTCAGTAGAGCATTGCTACAATGACTTGGAGTGAGGAAAGGAGAGGGGGCATGAGAAGATTCCTCTTCCCTCTAGCACAGCAGCAGCTGGGAGCTCTGCTGCCAGGAACGTAGCACGGTCCGAGGTCAAGCACAGAGCTTGGATTAACCTCTTCAAAACTTCTGAGCACTTCGCCTTCTGACATGTGTCTCAGGCAGGGAGAAGGATGTCAAAGGTACAGTTTTAATATTGTTGCACCTTTTATTCCCCACCACCTGCACCCACCAGCACCAGTGTCCAGAGAGGCACGGTGACCTTCCTGTGACACACGCCGAGTCCGAGCAGCGCCTGTGGATTCCCAGCTGGGACTGCAGCAAACTCCTTACTTCACACTCTGCAACTACAATACCTCTGCTTAGGTGTCCTGGAGAGACCAACACATCTCATCACTGCCACGGACTGTCCTTCAGATGTGAAGCCAGACGTGGGTGAGCTTGTGTCCCACATCACTGGACCTGTAACCCGTGTGGACAGGAGGAGTGGAGGAGCACAGCCCTGACGTGGGTGCACAGACTGTGCTGCTCACCAGCAGACCCCAGATGTTTCTCCATCCAGCACAATCCAACCTGTTTTGTTCTCTGCCACTTTATTAGGGCACCAAGAGCTGAAAGAGGAACAGGTTGTAAACCCCTCTGTGTGAGGGAAGAAGGGTCCCTCTCCCTTTGAGGGCAGCCTGTGTCCTGCCATCTCCAACAGCTCTGCAATTGCTGACGAATTGCCTCCCCACAATGATGCTGCAGCGCCGGGTGGGGGTGGGCGTGGGGGTGGTGCAGGAAAGGGCAGCTCTCTGAAAGCCCACCTGCTGGGTTTAGTGGGGCAAGGGGAAGCAAAGGAGAAGACTTGGCTGGACAAAAGGAGGTGAAGAGAAACGCTCCCCGCTCGCCTTTTGGTGCCTGTTTCCAGCACACCCCCAAGTGCTCAGCATTGAGAACGGTTCTTGCCAACAACGACAAAAAAACTGGTAAAAAGCACACTAGATAGTCATCTCAGGAGAGTTTGTGGGAAGTTTGGGTCTGTAGGATCAGAGGTCTGTAGCCTCGTGTGTGTTTCCTACAAGCATGCTCTGCTATGGGATTGTCTTGCCCATTTTTTAGCTTAGGATTTGAACAAGTCGTCTTCAACAACATCTTCCCCTTCTCCAGTAGTTTAATTTAAAAACTGGTAAAAAGCACACTAGATAGTCATCTCAGGAGAGTTTGTGGGAAGTTTGGGTCTGTAGGATCAGAGGTCTGTAGCCTCGTGTGTGTTTCCTACAAGCATGCTCTGCTATGGGATTGTCTTGCCCATTTTTTAGCTTAGGATTTGAACAAGTCGTCTTCAACAACATCTTCCCCTTCTCCAGTAGTTTAATTTTAAAACAGGACTATAA